CAAAAGAAAGAAAGAAAAAAACCCAACAGCTTAAAAAAAAAAAGTAACTCTAATCTGTAAAATAGTACCGTTGGATTGCTGAGAATCTATGTAAAGAGTTAGGAAATATAGGTTAATAACTTTTGGAACAAATTTTAAATATAGGCATTACTAGAGGAAAAATATCTATGGACTGTTCTATTAATGAAGAATGTCTGTCTTACCTCCATTTGTTATGGCAGGAGGAGAAAATAATAGAATTTAATAAGGAACAAGTGATTTTACTTTTTTTGCTCCCAGCCACTGTTGTGCTCATTTTAAATGCTGTTTTAAAGATCTGCTGCTTAACTATCCCCGCCCCTCAGCCCGAGATGTGGAGTGTTTCCTTTCAGTTCTGGGTGATGTCGAATTCTCCTTTTGTATTCCCTCCTGGGGCCCGGGGTCAGAGTCCCCACGCATGACCACAGCTTCTCTCAAACATCTAGGCTTCCCAGTGGGAAAGAAACTCCCACTCGACAGGTACAGAGTGGGTGGGGTTGCTGCCTGCAATTTCTCTAAAACCGCATCAGTGCCTTCGTACATACACCCAGGCACCCTGCGCAGGGGAACCCGTGTGTATGTGCTCGTGGTCCGGCCACTCCGCAGACGTTAAGACGCTGGCCCGATAAGGACCTGGGAGTGGTTCTGGACAAGCCCCAGAGGCAGTGAGCTCCATTTAAAGTCAATAAGCAAACAGAAATCAAGGATGTTCAATATGTTTGATGTCTGGAAAATGTGGAATGCCAAGGTCCTTCCGTGTGTGGGTGCCCTCCAGGTGTGCCCATGTGACAGCTAGAATGATCTGGAAAGTCTCTGTGTCAGGCCAGTAGAAAGGGGTTCGTATTTTTCTATCCTTGTCCTTCCCTTCCTTCCTTTCCCTGTCCTTTTCATTTCTTTTCCTTTTTTTTTTTTCTTTCTTTTTTTTTTTCTTTTTATCGACTTGCTGGAAGCTTTGCTTTTATTGGTTGGCAGTGACTTAAGAACAGGATATAGTGAGATGTAATGGAAGAGAAAGACTCTCCTTTCCATGGTATTCTTTGGCAAGAGCCATGTCTGCTGAGAGGATATGCGGCTTCAAAACACTTCAGAAATTCAGTGGGAGTGTCTTCTCCTCCACCACATTCTGGCCTGTGTGCAGAGGCTTGCTTGTCACCTCTCATTACAGACATTTGCTTCACGAACATTCTGATCATGTAAATTAAAGCTTTCCAATTTTTTTTTTTTACTAGTCCCCCTTTGTTTCTTTAAACACTCGATTACTGGTGGCTAGAGGTGTCCATCTCTCAAACATCAGGAACTTGGTTTCTGTCTACCGCATGCGGAGCCAAAACAAAAGAAGCACTAGTAGGGAAAGGGGTGTCTTCACCACACTGGGGACCTCTGCTGGCAATTGAGATCCAGTGCCATTACCTAATTTTAGGTGTTACTGTGTTTTTAAAAAAAAAAATAGCAAAGTTCCTATCTCCAAGACACTGTGAAAAAATGGATGTGGCATCTCCGATCCCTCAGGCCCTAGCTAGCCCTTGATGTTTTTCATTTACAACATTCATAGAAGTGAAGTGGCAGTGCCGCAGTGAAACCCCGAACAGAATTCTTTCATCAGCGTACCCCAGTACATGAGCATTCCCCATTGACTGCCATTCAGTTTGCTTTATTTATAGCAGTTTGATTTCCTATCACGATGGCTCCTATTCTCAGAACTCTCCCACTTCTTCTGACACGAATGTAGCACACAAATTAGCCATCGGTTCTTCCAAGTTCCTGTGGGCTGAATGTGGTGTAGAAGATATGCAACAGAAAAGAACGGAAAATAAATTCCTGCCTAGGAATTTGGAAGAGCTTTTACTAATACATCTAGCAGAAACTAAAATTTCACAGGCTCTTAACTTGTTGCAAATACTCACTCTTACTTTCACCACTTTTTTTTTTTTTTTTTTTGGTTCTTTTTTTGGGGGGGGTAGGGGGGTTTGTAGAGTTAACAGCCAGATTCCATATCGACCTCAGATGCTTGTTTCCTTTTTAATTTTATTTTTTTATATTCTGGCATCTTGACTCTTTACACAGAATGAAGATGCCTGAGTGCTGAGCAAAGTGTTTCAGCCAAGCCTGTTTTCTTTGCAGGGCAAACAGGATGTTTTCAGCAGACTTGGCTGTAGCAGCCATCTCTAAGATTAGGGAACAATGGAGTCTTTATGTGGAAAAGTCCCCTTCTCCCCAGTCCCGGCATTCAGATCCAACATATGACACTTTGTAGGTTGTTGTTTTGGATTTGGAGGTTTTTTTTTTTTCTGTTTTTTTTTTTTTAATTATTATTATTATTATCTATAAGATCTTTAGCTCAGAGTAGAGATATATTTTTAGCTGTTAAAAAAAAAATCAAACTTTTTCTTCTCCAGTATTTTTGCCAAGTTTTTGTCAACACTTCCTGTCCGTGCATTAACCACCCTTCTTAGTGTTATTGCAAAAAGAAATCTTATTCTTTGTTTTCTCTCCTATGAGTGTAAAACAGCTAGGCCGCATGCCATAGTGCAACTAAGCATAGTCTAGCCTGTGTGTTTGCAGTGAATTGTCAATCTTTGACCTCAGCAACATTAAAACATAGGGCTCCCTTGCCCTTATCCTCTACTGCACCCCATGTTCCACCCCCTCTGCTTTCTTACCTGCAAGAATAGGGTGTCCACACAGTCTAGAAACAGACAAATATACATAATGTTGTCAATTATATCCTCAACCTATTAAAAACAAGATATATATATAGTTTCACAGTTAGACCATACCCTGTAGTATGGTCTGTAGGTTCATGGCCAGTGCCAAAGGTGTGTGTATTTTCAGAGGTGGTCCCCACTTGTCAACGATAGTGTTGTTCTCTTGACCTTAAATTTGACAGAGGAGGTGCTGGCATCATAGTCTTTAGATTTGAAATAATTAATCAACTTCCAAATCTGTGAACATTGTAATAACTTAAAAATTGAACTTCAGCCCTCCATACCCCACCCAGAATGCCGCCTCCTGCCCACACCGCCAAAGCAGAGAGGCCAGGAGAGTTCCTCCCCACCGCTAACACCCTGCTTCTCACAGGCGGTCACTCTGACAAGATCTGGAGGAATGACCCAGTGCTGTAACATCTGAGTGGTCTTTAAACTGTCCGTCTCCTGTAGAAGCCTGCTGCCATCACCAAAAATAGCAAAAGTCACCGAAACTGCCAGTGTTTGCCTCACAGAATTTCAATCATTCCCTTTTCAGTTAGCCGTACACCTGAATTTGTTTTTAACGAGAAATTGCACATCAGAAAAGATGGTACTGCCCTGGTCAAGGGGCCTCTGCAAGACTCTGTGGGCTGAGTCTGCATTCTGCCAACACTTGTTTTGATCATGGGAGGGGAAAGGTCAGATAAAGGCAAGAAACGCTCTGTTTTAAATTTAAAAAAAGGAAGTGTTTCCCTAGAAAATCGTTTCTTTGGAAATAAAACCCCAATTGTAATGGACCCATTTTGAGGCAATATTAGGAAGTTGGGAATCTGTTTTAAAGAAGTAAAATTTCTTTTTACAACTAAGTAAACAGCAAAAGACGGAGCAGTGAGGGTGGCTAGCAGTACTCTCCTTCCCCCCCTTATCTGCTCTCGGGACCCCCTGCTGAAGGTGGCAGTCCTCCTGGGGCTGCTGAAAGGTGTGCACCCTTCTCAGTGTTGGGGTGGAAGAGGCAGCCAGAGGGTGGGGGGGTAGCCTTCCTGCAGGACCAGCCTGACAGCAGAGCTTTACAGAGAACAAGACAGGTGTCCTACCTGTGTTCGCCAAAAACGAAAAGGGGGAGGTGTACATACGAGACCAAGGAAAAAAACCTTTGCAACCACTAAGTTACATGCCTTCTAAAGGTAGTATAGCTTCTCTCTACGTGATACACCTCTTGCCAGAAAATTCGGGGTAAGTTAGAATACATGTGTTTAAAACACCACCTCTACCCCTCCCCCCTTTTTTAATTTTGTCCAAGGAATTAGTTACTTATGTGTAGTATTTCTGAATGTGCCTTTGTGAGTCCAGAGCCCATCTGTTTTAGGGAGAAGCTGCCTGTTAGGATGAAACAAAGATGGTCAGCCCAGCCTATAGGGAAGGGAGCCTTTCTCCTGGCGGGCTCTGGGGCAGCTGGTTGAGTGTTCAGTAGCATCCATGTTGCACAGGGCAGTGGGTGGGGGCAGCTCTGGGGCCTGGGAGAGAGGCAGGGAGGTGACGGTGCCAGGTGACAGAGACCCAGGTAGTTAGTCCAGGAGTGCAGGTTGAATTTATCATCTGCATTGCCTAGTTTTCTTCGTGTGTGTGTGTGCATGTCTGGTTGTCTTACTTTTTGTTTTTCTGTAAGCACTGGAGAGCTGGACTATGGTGACACATTCATGCATGTCAGGACGGCGCAGTCCCACCCTCTGGGTCTGTGTCCCGGGAAGGCAGTCCTCTTCTCACACGGAAGTCACTTCATGTTGCTGTTTCTGCGAACAGGGTATTACACACAAGGGAAAGGCTTTGAAATAATAAGATCGAAGTGTTTGAGAAAGAAAAGAGAAAAATCTGAAATGGTATTTTATTTCTTCAGAACTATTAGAGCTAAAGCATAGAAACCTGCCGCGTGTCTTCATTTGTTTTTACTTGTGTTAAACGATTCCACCTCTTCTCCCTACTCCCGATCTTCTAAAGAAATATCAAGTGAAAACCAAGGGCCACTTCCATAATTCCTCAGAACTCCCCAAAGAGGGACCGATCCCATCCCTCCCACAAGGTTCCTTCCACTTCCTTCCGCTCCATTCAGGAAGACTAAGGGAGGAGAGATGCCGCCTGCCGCTCTCAGTGCTTCACTCTCATTCCTCTCTAATGGCCTTGACATGTATTATTATGCAAATGTGAATTTTGATACTGAATTTAAGAAGAGGTTGTTGGATTTTTTTTTTCTTTTTTTGATCATCATTGCTTCTTCATTTTGTAACGTGACTTGTAACTATGCATTCTGCAAAAGGGGGGAGGAGAGGGCACATAGGGGAAGGAAGTGGCTTTGCATCTTGTTCTATGGTTTCTGTGTCCATGGTGGCCCATGTCCTGGTGGGGAAGGGGAGTGAGAGCAGGAAGCAGACCTCTGGGTGCTCCTGTGGTCGCTGGCAGGCCCGGCAGCCGGCAGAGCCAGTGTGGTGCAGGGTTCTCCATCCCGGCCGTGCAGTGTTAACCCGGGCTCATGAGTCTCCGGTGTTCTCTGGAAAAAAGTACTCATCCTTCTCTGAACTCAGAACCCTTTCAAGCTCAGGAAACCACGTCTCACTCGTGCTGACCTTAATGTTCCCCTTCCATCGACTTCTCTTCCCCCTCCTCGTTCCTTTTTAACTTTTTGTTTTTCCTTCTTAATCATGTTGAAGTGAACTTAATTATAAGGAAACTGTCTCACTCTAAGGGGACAAGGATTGTTGCTTGGCAGGCAAAGGGGATTCTCTGTCCCATCCACTACCCCCCAGCCACACGTGAGCTCTCTGCTTCCCTGGCGTTCACGAAGCTGCGCATAGCTAGCGAGCAGTGAGGTGTTTGCCACGGAAAAGCCAGCAGCCTTCTCTTTGTCCTTCTCTCTGTCCTAACGGGATTCCTCTGTGGATCTTGCCTGTGGTGGATCGTGGCCCCGGCATTGCCCTGTCCAGGCATTATTTGCAACACATTGTCGCACCCAGGAGGTGGTTCTGCCCGTGTTCAGTGTTCCATGCAGCAGCTCTTGTCCACAGTACTGTAACGAGTCACACGCGTGACCGGTCTCCCGGTGCCCAGGCGAGGCTGCATGGGCACGATCTTATCAGGGTTCCAACCTGTCAGATTGCCTTCAGACACACACAGAAACAAAACCGGCAAAAAAAAAAAAAAAAAAAGAAAAAAAATCCTGACGTCTCAACTGTCTCACACAAAGTAATACCTCAAGGTACATTTCCCCTGCAGTGTAGGCCTTGACTCCCCTCCTTTTCTGACAACAGTGGGTCACCCTTTTGAAAATATGAACGTGTACATAGCAGGATACCTTTTTTTTTTTTTTTTTTTTTTTTTTTTGCTGTGAAAGTAACCCTAAAATATGATACTTTTCTTTCTTAAGTCATCAGAAGTTTCAGATCTTACTCTTCCATGTTTAAGAAGAGAAAGCTGAACCGGTCAGGGTGTGGACTTGCATTTGTAGGCTGGTGTTCTCTCCATTGCCCCCGCTCACAGTGACAGCAGGCCAGTGTCTGAAGCCTGTTTCGGACGGATGCCATCTATTGCAGCCTTCTCCCTCCGGGTGGGGAGTCTGACTTCTCTCTTCTGGAAGCAGAATGGGCTCCGTGGGAGACACACAAACACACACACACACACACACACAGAGTAACTGAGTAGCATTCTGTAGTTCACGAAGGGAGTCAGTCCCTGGCATTTCAGTTTGGCTCTGTAGAATTTATAGCCTTGTCATCTTGTCGTACTCTGGACATATTTTGATTTGTTACTTACACAGAAGCTCATCTGAGATGTGCAGTCAGCCAGCCTGCCCCAAAAGGCTGGTGCACGCTCAGACACTGCCCCCTGCGTGAGGCTTGGCCGGCGTTAGGGAGAGGGACGTGAGTTTAACCAGTGCTGCTTGTAGGGCTCCGTCAGCTGCTATGCTCTTAGATTTGGCCACTAACAAGGCAGGGTCGGAACCGCTTCCTCACAAACACCTGACCCCCTCACCTCCGTCTTAAAGACACACACTGTGTCTGTCAAGAAGCCCTTTTCAGTTGTAACTTGTACAGTGACGACTTCCTTTGAGGGGAAGAAGCTTGATTGTAAATGCATGTACATTCACCACTCGCCTTCCGATTTTGGCTTTGTTGACCTTGGGGTTTGATTTCTGTTGGTTTGGAGACCTCTTTTCCATCAGTCTCCTTCCTCTGACACCTCAGAAGTTCTTCCTGCCCGTATCCCTCCACCACCCTCCCAAAGGGCTTTGTTGATCTCTGCACTACTTCCCGGGGCGCGCACTCCCCCACCACCACCTTTGCACACACACCCGTGACCAAAGTGTGTCCAGTGATCTCACAGAAGACATCAACAATGGTGCCTGCACCATGAATGTGCTCACAGAGACACGTGCACAAGGATCCTGCACCCTTGGCCTTAACCTCAGTATGACTTAAGGTGCAGGAACGTTTTTAACAGGTTTTCAAATACAATTCCCATCTGGGAGGTGGGGGACACGGGGGAGGCAGACACAAGAGCTCAGCTGTGCCGGCTCCTAACTCTCACCATTTGCTCACAACTTCAAATTCTGTGCCCACCCCGTTCCCATCCTTGTTCTGAGTAACCAAAAACAGACAAAAGCAACCCGAGGAGAGATTTCTGGACTATTTTGTCTTTCTCCATTGAGATGGAGCTATAAATGCTGCTTTGGGTTCCATAATCTTAGGGGGCTATGTTTACAGAGTAAAATACATCCTACCAAATCAGGAAACTGAAAAATGGAACCTCTGCAGTGAGAATTAGGTCACTGACGGTGAACGAGAGAATCGAGGGGCTGAGGGTGCAGAGGAGGACAGACGGAGAAGTCCCATTTCATTGACTTGTGACACATTGCTCCCTTCCTCCGTTTCCTCCCTTCGCTGCTCTCCTGGCCCTCTGAACAGAAGGTGCAGAGAAGGGCATCAGAAAGAGGCTAGACTTTTCAAAGGCAGCTCTCCAACTTTGCACACAAACAGGTCACAGGAAGGTACCGTAGAAACCCTCTCCTCTGAAACTGTCGGCAGAAACTGAACCTGTAACACGATTGAACAGTTGCACCACATTGATGCTCTCTCTGCAGGTTACCTAGAAGTGTTTTGTTTTTCTTATACTTGAAATAGCTTTTACAATATTATTTTGGTGGCTTTCTTTCCTCTCTTCCGGTGGGCAATGGAGAAAAGTGGATGATGGGATTTTAAGGAAGTTTGAGGGGAGAAAAGGAAGGATGTGGCATTGTCTTTTTTTTTTTTTTCCTTAAAGATAGAGGTTTAATCAAACTCCCATATGTTGAAATTGCTCCTCATATTACTGGTTTTACATGGACACAGAAACTAGGCACTTTAGAGGTGCACTTGCATGGCAGGCTGGGCCCCCCTTTTCTACATTTTATTTTACTTTTTTTAGTATAGTGGTACTTAAAATCACTGGTTCACTTATAAAACCAATAAAATGTTAAACTCTACTAATGTACAAATAAGCTGAAAAGTTGCATTTTATGTGTATTTTTTGCCATAGCAGGTACTGTATTTCTCATGCTGGATTTCAAAAAACAAAAAACAAAAAAAATCAAAAACAAAAAAACTAAAGGGTGGTGTTTTACTGGATTGTGACAGGTTGAATAATAAGGAATTAAGTCTTCGTCATTTCATTAAAGCTGAGAGATGATGTAATGCATATATAAGAGTTTTCTGAAGGGTTTTTTTGGGCTTTTAAACAGCTTATTTTTGTTTTTGTTTAGTATTTTATTTTATTTTGGAAAGATATGATTGTATTATGTGCAACTCAGTTGCTTACATTATAACTACAAAATATTTTTGGGTTCCTGGAAAAAAAAAAAAAAGAAAAAAGACTAATAAATGTGTTTGGCTGCTAAGCATTTACTGATGTTTCCTGTTTTATTCTGCCAATTTAATTTGCTCGTTTGTTGAATATTTGTATTTTGCTACTCTTCTTCCTCTCTCTGCTCCACACCTGAAAGCTATCCAATACTCGGCGTCTAAATTGGGCCTCGACTTCACCTGCCTTGCCGTGTATGTTTTTGCTGTTGGGGATAGCCAGTTGGTGGTGGGTTTCTGCTCCTCCTTCTGGCTGCCTGCTGCAGTGCAGAGTTCAAACTCTCTTAACAGAAATTGATGTCCTGCCTTTTGTTGTCCCCTTTAATCCTTATTTGCATTTGGAGTAAGAGCAGTAGAGCAGAGGAAAGAAGAGAGAAGACTCCTGCCCAGGGCTGGCTGCATCCCCTCAGCTGCTGCTGCTCCCCAGGAAGAGAACCAACCAGCTTTCCAGAAAACACTGCCCCGAGATCTCACTGCCGAGGAGCATAAGAGCCCTCCCCTCACGGCGAGGTTTGCTTATTTACCATTCGCTGCTAACATAGAGACTTGTTGAGACATGGGATGATGAAACACCTCTAGAATGGCCAAGGGGAGGAAGGTAGGGAAGGCTGCGCTAACTCCCAGGTTCTGTGTTTGACTTAATTCTCAGGGTGCTGTGTGAATGGATGGAAAAACCACATTTCACGAGGAAACGTGGCTCAGAATAACTTAATTAGCTGATCACAGGTAACACTGATTGGTGGTTTACCATCAGCTGGGCACTGCTCTAGGCACACCGTGTGTATTCATTTCACTGAAACTTGTCACAGTCACTGCTGACCCCAGATAGGATTCAAAAGTTACCAAATGCCTGTGCTGCAGAACACTTGGGCTTCTGAGGAAATGGTCTAAAAACAAGCCTGTTGTACACAGCGGTGGGCCACATGCCATCCAGGTCTTTTATCATACAACTAGAGGCCCAGTACATGGAAATCCATGCACTGGAGGGGGAATCCCTCACCCCGACCTGCCCCCTCTCAAAATCGCGGAGCCCTTAGGAGTGGGAGGTGACCTGGCGATCAGGGAAAGGCAATGCCCCATCACACCTCTGCTGCTGCCACTGCTGGCAGCACAAGCCTTGGCCGGCGTTGGTTACCTGAGCCTCTGGCGGCCCTGGACAACTGGGCAGCCACTATCCAAGGCTTGCCTGTGTCTCAGGCGGGCCCTAGGGGGCTAGAGGGCTGAGGGAACTGGGGGAATCCAGAGGCAGGAGCACGGAGTGGCCAAGCCCTCCTCGGGATGGACTCGGCCTTGCTGTGCACCTGCTGCCCCAGCAGGGCTTGAGGGGACTGGGCATCGCCATCTTGTGGCTGTGGGTGCCACCATCTTTGAGGGTGGAGCAGCCAATTAGCATATTTCCTCCTTATTGGCTCTTTGCACCACCATCGTTGAGGGTGGGATAGTCAATTAGCATATTCCCTCCTTACTGGCTGTGGGCACCACCATCTTTTGTGAGGGTCGATTAGCATATTCCCTCTTTTTGAATAGGATAAGTAAGTACTGGGAAATCTGAAGTGAGAAGAGGTGAGCTCTTCAAAAACATCTTGAAGGCCACTCTGTTACAAGTTAGTGGTGGTGTGTGTTTTTTAAGAAATAGAGGTCATTGTAAACACTACGAAAAACCTTATCAACAAAGATGTTGGATATTTTAAAAATGCACCAATGGCTAATGGAGGATATTTTGTAGAATTAAAGGTGGTACTCAGCCTTCCTCACTGACGTGCCCTGCTGTCACCTCAGGATATACCT